AAAAAAAAAGAAAGCAGAGGAATTGTGCTGATGGTTCGTTTCAGTCAGAAATGAGTGACTTCACCATCTAAACACGTACTCTATAAGCCATCACGAAAATACTCTTATCAGATCGTGATAAAAAACACTGAAAAACTTCAGACTCCGATTTTTGACGCATTTCTTCTGGACTTCGAGTTAATTAGAACGGAAATTAGAACGGATTGGAACAACGCAGAAACTTTACTAGAATCGTCATTCCCTTCCTTTTTTCTTTCAAAGCCATTTTCGATGGACTGTTTGGAGTTTTTTTTAAACTTTATCAGCTTTTTATTAAACAAACTCCTCTTTTCACTCAAAAGCTGGGGATAAACCGGAAATCATAAATTTGTAAATGCTTCCATTACCTCAAAAATTGTGGAGTGAACCGCAATTGATATATGACAAGACCGAAGGCAAGTGATAAAGGACAAGACATTACCAGCACTTTGAATTGTGGTGAAAAGCAGGACTGGTGCATTTTTCCTGAAAGAAGCTATACATCTTCACAATTACCTATACATCCAATACATTGATTGATCTCTTATTGTACGTATTCACCAAATGCGCTCATAAAAGTCATTACAGTTTTGAATGAGGGTATACTACATGAATCACATCTAAAAAAGGGATACCCAGATGATTGCTTGAGCATTTTGAGAGTTTTCTTTCTTTTCCAGCATGTTCCAGAGGAAGAATGCCGGAGGCATACGGTAGGAGCAGCTTCTCGTTCAAGAGTTGTTGATGGCATGTACTCGACGGCAACCTCTTTTGTGTTCTACTTGTAGACGTCTTCCATCTGTTGCTCCCAATGCGTTTGCTGATTCACACAGCTCACACATGGAAGAACACCGTTACAGAGTCGTTAACTGTTCGCCTAAATTGAGTATTCAAAAGAAGTCTAGAAAGTGGTTGTTATTCGGGGTACTCCCTCAAAAGGTCTACAAACATCACCCAACGGCTGCCTTTCCGAGTTTTCCTCAACTGTTTTTCCACGAAGCATTTACCGACCATATTGGGGAATTGGGAACCGCTCGGCGTCCATCTGTAAGGAAAAACACCTCTACAAGTAAGTATAGCTTCTCTGTGGTTAACGCCTCTCTTCCCACGACCTCACTACAGCCTCTGGTCTCAATATCTCTAAAACCAGCTGTGATGATGTTCGTTGATGTCTAGAAAGTCAAACAAGCATGGCCTTATCAGTCGGTCGGCCAGTGAAACAAGTGTGAAAATCGGAGCTTTTTGGGATACCCTTTTTTGACGGGAATTCATAGAACTACGCTAGAACAAAGCGATAACAACGAAAAAAGCGCAAGAAACGATGAACAAAAAGAAATAGAAAGGGTCAAAAAAGAGCTGGAAAGGGGGGTTGGACGAGTTTCACATTGGAAGAACGGCGGTTAAGGGGGTGTTCGGGTGAGTACACGAAGGCGACGCAATGTCTGCAATAGCAGACAACACACCCAAGCAGACAACTTCGCTCCAATGCGAATGTGGTGAAGGACAATTAGAACTCGTAGTCAGCCTAGCGAGGGGCGGAGGCCTCCCGTCCCCCACTGTTCCTGCCCTTGTTGTGCCCCATCCAGACCGTTTTCCGACCTCATTCCTGCAAAAATGGTATCAGAGGGGGCGTCGAATTCAAATCATGTGCAGATCTCCGAAACCATTTTTTCGTGAACAGTGCTTTTAAGGATTGTTACGAGAAGGAAGAGCCTACCTGCCCCACATCCGTCGATTAAATTATCAAGACAACCATTCAGGCTGGAAAGCCTTGCATCCGCCTAACAACTAGCTCGTATCAGGCCAAATATGAGCTCAAAACATTACTACGATTTTAAAAGTGGAATTGATTCCACTCCCATACAACGAAAATTGGCAAACTAATGGGTAGGGTGAAACATTACAATAATCTGGGAGATTCAACCCAGATATCGTAGGTAACGGGACGTAGAAGATATGTAGATACGAATTGAAGAAAAAGAAAAAGATCAAAGCTAATTGTAAGTTGAATAAAACAGTCACAACTAGCCGACATATTACCCCACGCATTGATTCGAGAATCAATTTCTAGATCGTAACCTGCCCAGTCCAACTAAGTGTTCTGATCTACAAAACCTGTTGATTGAAATCGAACCCGCTCAGGAGGGCATAAGCTCTGGCTTGTTATGGTGAATGCCTTCCAGGAGGTCTTCAAGTCTGGACTGAAGTTCATCCACCACGTGATCGCACCGTTTTCAGTGGGACAAAAGCCAGGAATATAAGTATTTATTATGAGTGTTAAATCATGATATACAGAATAAATACACACAGAGTACCGAAGAAACAGTGACTATAGGAATTCTAGTCATATTGGTGCTCCAAGTAACCAATTATTGGTAAGTTCTTTTCCTAGAAGTGTAACGGACCAGTTTTCCCCGTTCTATTCATTCAATCGTATGCGCTACTGCCCAAATCTGCTGGCGAACTTTTTGAAAAACCTTTATTACTTTATGAAAGCCCCATACACAGATTTCTTCAATGTGTGCACATAAATAGACGCCAGGCTTCATCCAGTGCTCTCTTCACTGAGAAAATCATTAAAGCAATTCATCCAAACATTCTTATTCTACTTGTTCTTCCTTTCTAAGTTCTTTATTCCGGTCATGAAAGAGGAAAATATCGTCGAGAAGGCATCCGGTCTTTTCCATAGCAATTTCCATGCGCTGAAAGGATGTAAGGATACCATCATCAAGGGAGGATCACAATGAAAAGCAAGTTCCGGTACCTTCTTTCTCGAATCCTCATCAGATGTTTCGGATAACACCTGGAAGACTGTTCCTATCCCAGGCAGTGCCATAAAAGCACCAATTGGGATGAATTGCTGATAGGCTTCTTTCAACTGAATAAAAGAATAGAAAATCCGTTGTTTGTAAAGGTCTTTTCTGTAGGGGTAATCTAATTGTGACCGGGAGCAGACAGCATCTTACCTGTTCCAGAGTGTATGGCATCTGTCTGTCGCCCACTTCCTCTTTAAGGTAACAATAAAATTCTTCTAGGAGTTGCTCCCAATGTTCTCGTCGATCCCTTCCGCTGAGACACCCGCAGAACATCCGTACAAGGTCGGTAGCTGCACAACCGAAATGAGCTGTCTAAAGAAGATTCTGGGAAGCTCAAATGATCCTGCACTTTGTCCTAGAAGGTGACCCGCAGAACATCCGTACAAGGTCGGTAGCTGCACAACCGAAATGAGCTGTCTAAAGAAAATTCTGGGAAACTCAAATGATCCTGCACTTTGTTCTAGAAGGTGCACGAATAATACCTGATAGTCCACAACTGCAACAAGTTCAAGATGATTCCCCTTCTGTTTCCAAAGGATATTATTGGACCATAAATCGCCATGACAAAGGACGCTCTCCATTCCTGGAAATAAGTCCACAGAGGCTTTCACTTCATGTTTGGGTAGCATGATGAGTCGTAAAGGAAAGTAAAAAAGGGATTCAGTCAGCTTATCGTTTTGTCCGATTTCTTACAACTTTTGTAGGGAACAACTGTCGACAGTTGTCAACTAACCGTTCACGTACGAAATATGCTCACCGAACTGTTTGTTCATATTGACAACCCAATCGACATCCACAATATCCGATAGAATCGCCTTTAACTGATCACCCTTTTCCGCAAAATTCTCATCGCCGGAGGCGGAAAACATCACAATCAATTGGTCCAAACCCTTAAAAGGCTTCAGAAATGAAATTTCATACAGAAATCGGCAAGAGGGCATTTTTAAAGTCTGAAAAGTATAGTACTGAATAGTACGGATTCGAGTCCCATACAAACTGAAGCTTTGCCCATAAACCATCAACCTTGTAAGACTTTC